CCACTTGGAGTCTGCATTTTCATTACATTCAGCCGGCAGTGACACTGCTGGGGTAAAACATTATTTTCCCATTTCTTTACATTAATGAGGTCAAAAACTATATTTTCATAAATAATAGTTTCACTGGGAAAATCTCTACATTTATGAAAGAACAAATATACAAACAATTGAGTCTTGGTAGAAGGCTACTTTTTACTGGAAAACATAGGGTTTTCTAGGGTGTATACTATTTTCAAACATTGAAACCAGTTATTATACCACATTGTTGTAAACATTTTTATACAAGCAATGACACTAAATACTTATGAACTCACCAGCTTTATGCTGATAAACTCTTTCAAAATAACTTGTATTCTCAGGTCGTCAGTAGACAGGTACAGATGCAGCTTTTGAGAAGATGGAGCATATACAAGACTCCTATTTATTTTGATTATACTTTTGGTGTCTAACAAACTGTACAGAACACGCTTGTATTATAATTATTATATTAATGCAATGGATGTTGTTGCTTGTCTTTACTATTATGCATTGTTATGATACTGTACATGACGTCCTCCACCCCAGAACGTATTCCGCCGTTCTCGGTTTTGGGGTGTGACATTAATCCATTGATAAATTAAACTTTTAATTTGTTTAATCTTAAACCATAAAATTATGGATTTATTAATTATCTCTTATAATTAAACTCTTAATTAAATTAAGAAAACCATAAGGGTGTAATTTGAAATTTTCAAAATACTAGGGTTCTAGAATTTAATATTTCAAAATTAATACCTTTTAATTAAATTTTAAATTCCAAAACTTGAGGACAAATTTTGAAACCTTTCAAAATATTAGGTTTAACTATTTAAATTTCAAAAACTAAAACTTTTAAGTTCAAATTTAAACTATAAAACCTAAAGGGTGTAAAATTGAAACTTTTCAACCTTACTAGGTCAATTATTTGACTCATAATAATCCTATATTATCCATATTTAACCAAATTCATTAATTTTGATAAGGATAATCATTCCAAATATAAAAAATCGATTTTAGGTAATAAAAAACGAGTTTTGGTAATTATCCTTAACAAAATCTGCTCAAAAAATCGAAAATCCCGTCAACAGCACCCTAGACTCGCCGAGTCCACTGATGGACTCGCCGAGTTCATACAACTCGCCGAGTCCACTGATGGACTGGCCGAGTCGGCTTCACAGACAGCAAAAAATTTGGCTTTTTGATCCTTTGGCAGTTCACTTTTGCATCTATTCAACTAGAAAAACGACCTAGGCTCTGATACCACTGATGGGTTATGTGCATAACATCAATCCTATGGTGTACATGCAACCCTAATTGTTTTGATCTAGGTTTTTCTAAGTAAACATACAACATTGAATACCAAAGCAATAAACCTTAATTGACTAGCATACAAATCTGAAAATCACATATAATTAGGGTTAGGAACATTACCTTGATTGTTATGTAGCAATAACAATCACAAACCTCCTTGATCTTGACTTCTGAAAGCCTAGTGCCTCAAATGTTGCCCCTCTAATGGATTCACAAACACCACTAGCAACAAGACGACTTAGGAGAGGGAGGAGAGGCACCAAAACATCCAAGATCCTCTTAGGAATGCTTAGCCACGTTTTTGGGAGCCTTAGGGGTCCTTATATAGTTGAGGCTACTAGGGTTTTCAACTTGGAAACCCTAATCCAGTTGCTTAGGCCCTAAGCAGCCCAAAGATCCTTCCAGAAGGCCCCTTGGACGATTTCAATATGGACTCCCATATAGAATTCGTCCATTGCTTCCTTATCGATCTTAAGCCCAACTCTATAACTATCTTATAATTACAGTATCAGTCCCCTTAATTTAATTAATCTCTTTTGACCACAAAATTAATTCTAAATTAATTCTCAATCAATATTAATTAAACAATATGATTTTTCCTTTAATATATTATTCATATAATATATTAATAAATCATAGTTAATCCTCTTTCTCCTTAATTCATCCTATCAGTTGCTATGGTGAAGGCAACTCAAAAGGATCATGCTCATAATCGTGTCAAGTACATACCAAAATAGTTATGGGCTTAGACACCTAATCCAACAATATGGTCTTTCTCTCAAGGAGCACTCCTTTAGAGATATAAGCACCACACATATTAATAGTCTTTAGTGAATACCCGACAATATAATACTTTTTAAGTATCGATTCAAGTTGGTCAATTGTTTCTTGTCTAATGAAAGACCTCACAACATCAGACATAATGTGAGGGAACTTTTCAACTCCACATTTCATGAGGTGCCTAATGCTATATTATTTCAACTTTGATAATCAAGCAGCCATTTATAATGCAAAAAAATCTTGTTTATGTGTGTCGAAATTTTCAAGAAGGATTAATTACAATGTCACATATTCCTATTACCCAACAACTTGCTAATTTTTCACAAAACAATTAATGGGTCAAAAGCATCAAGAAGCCATTTACAATCGGGGTTTGCTTTCACACCCTCTAGATTGAGGAGGGTTGTTAGAACTAACTAAAGGGTATTTTGGTAATTTATTGTATTTATTGATTGTTTGTTTGTTAGATTTTGTGCTTATAACATGTATAGTTAGTTAGAAGTTTCATGAAGTTTTCTTCTTGTATATAATATCTATTGTAGTTCATTTCAATGTAAGGAAAATAGAAACCGAAAAACTATCTTCTCCTATGTCTCTTTTGCTCTCTCAATTGACAAAATGTAACACACTTGCGAGAAGAAGAAGGAAAATGAAGAGTGGAAAAGCATATTAGATTAGATAGAATTTAAGAGATTTGATTGGCTAGGTCTAATACCATCAGGGATGAGGGAGTCATGACAATTTAGGTGGAGGTACCAATGGTACCTCCAAGATATCATTTCTTAACAAGTTGGTTAAGTGGGTATAGGGTTGGAATACATCTCAGCGGGTTTATAAATCCACTTCCTTTCTCTCTCTAGCTTTCTCTTTCTATTCTTCCATGCATTAGTTGGCTGTAAATCATGCTTTAAAACATGTATCAAATTGTGTTTGTATGTTTTTAATTAGTTTTGTATGTTTTTAATGTTTTTATTAATTAATTTTGAATGATTTTAATTAGTGTGTATTTATTTTAAAATTAAAAATTGAGTGAGTTAATTGAGTTGGGAAAGATAAGTTTCCATGTGTTTTGGATTAGGAAAGATGGAACAGAGTGGAGAGAAAAATTGATATGACGTTGATGTAGCAGTGGGTTGAATGGGTAGGAGGGACGGACTCCCTCCACCCTAATAGTTGATATACATCCTTGAATGATAATGTTAAATGTACACAATACATGAATACAAATATATATATATATATATATATATATATATATATATATATATATATATATATATATATATATATATATATATATATATATATATACACAAAATATAAGACATGAGTAAATGAACTAGTCATGACTATAACCTATCTACTAATAATATTATATATTTTGGTGTCACTACAAGAATAACGAGTATTAGTGGCGACATTCGTCGCCGCTAAAAGGTCGTCGCTAATGTTTCCAAGGTCGCCGCTATTGTTATCCGTCACCACTAAAGGATTGTCGTCGCTAATACCCGTTAATACCTTGTTTTTTTTGTGGGGGGGTGTTGTGGTGGCAGAAAATTCGGCAGCAGTGGTGACGGTGGTCACAACCCGAGCTAACAGGTCAACAATGCTTAATACACAAAATCAAACACTCAACTCAGTAGATGGTTACTGGAGAAAAAAATAGAAAAAAAGGTAGGTGAAGCATCTTTCCGTCGCCACTATCAGAATGAAAAATCTGTCACGGGTGATGGTGTCCGTGTCATTGCCGGTGATAGAGGATGCCACCGGTGGTAATCGATTCTACTTGGTTGATATTTCGTCAGGAATCAGGAGAGCAAAAGAGGTAGATATTATATAGGAAAGTGGAGAAGAGAAAGGGGTATATCTGCGAAAAGCATTAGCGGCGACGATTGTCACCACCAATGATATCCCCGCTAACAGTATATGCGATATTTATTTCCAGCCGTTGGACTAGTCCCAGATCGACGGAGATCAATGGATAATGGATAGGGGTTAACCAATGCCTTTGACGCATATCATGGTCTTTTAGCTTTAGCAGGGACGCCTTTAGCGACGACATCTAACGTGGAAGTTAGATGTCGCTGCTAAAAGTTGTAATCGGTGCTAAAGACATCGTCGTTAATAAACGTATTTCTTGTAGTATATAAAGTTATTGTTTTTGTTTGCAAGTGTAATACGATAATGTTGATCTTCATTATCAACGTATAAAAAAAATACAAAACAAATAATATTAATGATCGCGATCATCATAATAATAATAATAATAATAATAATAATTATTATTATTATTATTATTATTATTAGCGAATCATAATGTCTAGTTGCAAGTTGTTTAAAAAACTGTTTTATATAAGTGCATATTCTTTCAGATGAATTATACGAGAAAATGATTATTACAACCACCATTGTATAATGTATAGATGAATATTTTTATTCAATTAATATTTAGAAAGAATAAAACTACAATGATGTATTATATCCTTTTATTTTCTCTCTAAATCCCGAATATCGCAAAAGTGGGACATCTCCAATAAGGGAGACGTCTTTTCTTCATTATATTCTACCAACCGAATAGTTTACACTTAATATCATTCATCAAAATATTTTATTTTCGTATTCTATAGTAGCATCACTTGCAAATACTAATAGTTTATGTAGACAATTTTTTGTTTTGTTGTTGAAATATTGAATAAATATACGTTCAAACAAGTAACGCGCGAAAAAGTCTCAAAACCTAGCTGTTTATGTGGATTGTAACACTTCATTTCTTGTCTTCATCATTATCCAGTTTTGTTTTTATTTCTTATTTTTTTAGCCATAAACAACTAGGAGAAGCTTCTTGTGTTGTATTTTCATGTTATCTATATAAAATTTCTTTTCAACTTTATTTTATTTTCAACGTCAAGATGATCTCCATAAAATACCTTTGTGTTCTTTTTCTTTGTGTTTTAGGTTTCATCTCTTCGGTTACTTCAATCAGAAAGAGTTCTGGTGGAACCACTGATGGTTCTGAAACATGGGGATATGTTGAAGTTCGCCCACGTACGTGTTTAGATTTACTTGGATTCATTACTAGCAAAAGTACATGTTTTAATTTTTGTTGCTTTTGTTATAGGTGTACATATGTTTTGGTGGTTGTATAAGAGTCCTAATAAACCTAAACATCCAACCAATTCATGGCCTACGATTCTATGGTTGCAAGGAGGCCCGGTAAGTATCCATAAGTTATGAAACTTGATAGTGGCCAGACTTACAGGTGACAATCATACAATCTCTATTTTTAACTGTTAATATTTCCAAAAAGAAATATAATGATTGGTTTTACTATGGTCAACTAATTTAACTCCCATAAGGAATAGTGCAGGAGGGGTAAATTAGATTTGTGGATCCAAAAAGAAATAATTTAACTACCAACAACTAGTTAATTTTATCTTTAAAAAAAGTCTTAATAAAGAAATCAAGGAAAATGAGGTTTTCTTTCATTAATTACTCGAGTTTTTACAATTTTTATCATTTTTGTTTTCTTTCATTTCCCAAGTGTGCAACCATCATATTTTTACTATTTTTTATCCGGGCAGCAGTTAACGACACTTAATGGTTAGTGGGACAAAACGAAACATGGCCTTGTCACCGGCTATTAGTGACAAAATAGTTTGATCCCTACCACTTTTGGTCGCTAATGGACCCTTTTCATTCCAGGGTAGCTCCGGAGTTGGCTTTGGAAATTTCGGAGAACTTGGACCCTTAGATGTTGATCTAAAGCAACGAAACTTGACATGGCTTCAGAAGGCAGATCTTTTGTTTGTGGTATGTTTTGAGCTTCCTATTCGTCTCTATGATCGCAAAATGCCTGAATACTGACACAACTTATCAAATTAAGTCATGTCATTTTTTGATTCCAGGATAGCCCTGTTGGGTCCGGGTATAGTTATGTGGAGGATGAGAGCTTGTTTGTCAAAACCGATGTAGAAGCAGCAATAGATGTCACGACATTGTTGAAGGTGATCTACAACACAAACAAGATCAAGGTAAAGAATCCACTTTACATTTTTGCGGAATCTTATGGAGGTAAATTTGCGGTCACTCTTGCACTTTCTGCCTTAAAAGCTATCGAAAAGGGGGAGCTCAAACTTAAACTTGGAGGTACTACATTTTCGCAAAATATCATATTCGCGTGATTCTCCTTTTGAACCATATATCATATTTGGTGATTAAAGAAAATTCTGAAAAAAGTATCGAAATAATTCATAGATAGAGGCTTAAGTCATGTATAATGGTTTGAAAAGTCAATTCTAAAATTTAAATGCTAAAAACATCGTATCACGAAACAATTTGTTTTAAAATCGTTCATTACATCAATGTTTAATTAGTCTTTTTTTTAGGAAAATCGACTATATTTGCAACTAAAAGTCATGTATAATGGTTTCAAAACTCAAATAGATGAAGCTAATTAATGTTACTCGTGTGAGGATATAGGTGTTGCGTTGGGCGATAGTTGGATTTCTCCAGAAGATTATGTGGTAAGTCGAGCTGATCATTTTCGTCGCAAATATTGGTTTGTGACTTTCTAATTGTTCGTATAAACCGAACGACCAAATTTTGCAGCTTTCATGGGGTCCATTACTTAAGGATATGTCAAGAATTGGTGATGTTGCTTTCAACCAATCAACAAGGTTCAAAATAACGTGATTCATGTTGCAAGTGGCAAGCTTTAAAAAGTGTCGCGAAAAGCATCTGAACTTCATCTTTCTGGTGCAGTTTAGCTCTAAAGATTCAGCAGCAAATAACAGACGGACAGTATGTTAATGCGACAGATTCATGGGCTGAGCTCGAGGATGTTCTTATTGATAGCAGCAACGGTGTGGTATGTTAGGGATCTAATATTGTTTGATTGTTCTTAGCGACACATAAGATTTAGTGCCAAATGTTATTTTATTAGGATTTCTACAACTTCATGTTGGATATGAACAACGATCCAAATATTATGACAACAAAAGCATCGAGAAGATTTGAAAATAAGCCTTATGCCTTGGTCTCTGAAGCCGATGGAAATGACCTGGATTCCGTCATGAATGGACCAATTAGAGAAAAGCTCAAGATTATTCCCATAAACGTAAAGTACGTTCTTAGAACTACTTGCAATGTGTTTTTTTATGATTTTCATATTTATAAATTATGAAAAATATTACTTATATAATTATAAAAATAAAAACACAATTAAATTGTTACATAACGATTACGAAGTTTATATTTGATATTGCCATAAAATTAAAATAAATTAATTAACGCAAAAAATAAAAAATATTTAAAGTGTAACTATAAGTAGGAGTAGTAAAATGAAATATTATTTAAATAATAAGGACTATATATATAGGAAACATAAAAGATTAAGCAAATAGTAAATAGCAAATAAGAATGATCAAAAAGTTATTCACGAATGGTAAAACGCTATTAGTATGTTCAAAGAATCATATTGATGATCATCGATCTCTTTTAGATGGGGAGGGCAAAGTGGCGATGTGTTTACGGCTATGGAAGGAGACTTCATGAAACCGAGAATCCAAGAGGTAAAGCTTTTAACATATTCAAATATAGTGACACCAGTTTTGCATAACCATATTTGCAATGCCCTAGCGTTGCAAATGGTTCATCTTTTTGCAATATTCATTAGCCTTATATGCTCAAAGTGCTCATAGATATATTGTTTTACAGGTTGATGAGCTTTTGTCCAAGGGTGTAAATGTGACAATATACAACGGTCAGGTGAGAAAATCTTGCGAAATTGGAATTAACTTAGCAGATTCAATGAATTACATTTTTGTAACTTTTTTGTGACAGATTGATCTAATTTGTGCAACCAAGGGAACAGAAGCGTGGATCAAAAAACTCAAGTAATTATTTGTGTACAATGTTTCTGGTGTTTCAATTTAAATGGTATGTAAATATGCGACTAGTGGTTGCTAAGATGTTGGCTTTGTTTTATTGTTAGATGGGATGGTTTGTCGACATACTTGAACATTCATAGGACTCCATTATACTGTGGTGAAGATAAAAGCACCACAAAAGGATTCTTTAAGTCATATGAGAACTTTGCGTTCTACTGGATTCTTGGAGCCGGTCATTTTGTAAGTCTTTTATTTTCTCTTAATTTTTCTATTTTTATTCATGTTTAATCGAAAAAAAGTGCAAAATATATACTATAGTTGCACATTGGACCATTTCATTAAGACAAAAAGGCATGTTCTGGTCAAGTCTGATCAATGTGGTTCCAGATCTGGACGTTGGAAGTTCTGAATCTAGGCCAATTTGGGCTGTATCTAGTTGTGTTGTGTCATGATCAAAAAATAAATAAATAAATAAACATTTTTAATTTGTCAATTAGAGCTTATTATTTTTCCCGGATTGGATTTCCACTTACATCATTTTTACGTAAACTTATCTTTACATATTATATCCAACAAGTTTTTTCCAACATTTTAAATGTTATAAGCCGTTGTTAAAATCGAGTTTCAAAGTAAGTTTTTAAGACAGTGACTTAAAGACTTCAACTTAGTATGTAGAAATGCTAACTAATTTGAAAACCCTAATTTGATGATAAGGTGCAACAGATTGTATCAGTGAAATTTTTTTAAAGCCATAATCCGTCGAAATCCGTTGGAAATTAACCGATGGGTCTATGCGAATTCTATTTTATTAATATCTATATACATCGGAAATGTTACTAACTTTTTTGGTAAAAAATTGCATGGTCTAGGACTTAAACCATGTGTCACATATATACAAATATGCAATGCTTACCGATCGGCTTAATTCCCCACTAAAACATCCACTACGTAATCTGTCACTAAGCAGTTTGTCATGAAGCTTTCGCACTTGTCACAATAGTTACCCGATGGAAATCCGTCACAACAATTTACCCCCACAATTTTTCAAGATTATAAAAAATACAAAAGTTATACTTTTAATTTAGAAACAATATAACTTACAAATATTGCAAAAAAAAAAATGTGTAGTTATAACATCATTTTAGGCCAGAAGTTTGTTACAACTTGTAATTTTATTGGCATATCATACATATATTGTCACTAATTTGTTTTGGAACACGGTTCAGGTTCCCGTGGATCAGCCTTGTGTTTCTCTAAAGATGGTCGGTAGTATCGTGAATACACCCGATCCAAAGCATAACCATTGATTGTCGACTATGCGCAGCGGGGAGATTGCATTCTTGGATTTCTTCATAGTTTTACATCTCCACATGCCAAACCATAAACACCTTTATTTAGAGTAATTTAATTATGATTCTCCATCGCATCATTATTGAAAACCAATTTTGTAATCAACGTAGCATGATCATTTATCCCTGCCATCTCTATCGAGAGTTAAAAATAATTGTAACATTGTCTAACATTTACCATCATACCGTTAAACCATTTTTCATATTAAAAATCACATAAAAATATGTATAATAAACAACATACTCATTTATAAATATTATATGGTTAAATAAATATAAAAAAGAATACCTATAATCTTGTAAAATTCAATGACAATTTGGTACTTTCAATACTACTATTATGTTTTTGTCTTATCAAATGTTATATAGACAACTTGCTTCTCTTCAAAAATAAATAAATAAATAAATAAAATAAAAAGAAATTGTTATATAGACAACTAGAAGTGTAAACATGGACTTTGATATATTGATCTAAAAAATAGGTGGCTTAATTGCACTTTTAATTTATTGGATATTATTACAGTTTAGTGCTTGCAGTTCTACTAGGATATTTACTCTAGTAGATTGTATTCCTTTCTGATATTTTTCAACCGAAATTCGATGTCAAAAACATATATTATCAAATAAGCAAATGCGATAATATATTCACTGTAACCTTAATCGAATTTGTAAGAGTAAGAACATAAACTACCAACCAAAATACCACCGGATTTATAGTGAAAAACCCAAAAAGGTGAAAAACCATTTTGGAATGAACACTATATTAATCTCAATGTTGAGAAGCATTACAAACACGGCCGGTCCATTGTATTTTAATACCCAAGACGAGATAAGAACTTTATGCCCTTATATAAGTATTGCATGACACATATATATATATATATATATATATATATATATATATATATATATATAATATATAATACACACACACACGAAAAAAAAAATGCACTGTACCACCTTTTATAATCAAACAAATAATACAAACAAAACCTACAAAATCTGATATATATATATATATATATATATATATATATATATATATATATATATATATATATATATATATATATATATATATATATATATATATATAGAGGTAGGATCAGTTGAGAACACTAAAAAGGTTGAGAACGCGAGAACACATCTGGGCCACTTAAATATTCAAATCTAAGACTATTATCAAACGGGTAATTTATGTTGATTCTAAAACTATCGGTAGTAAAATGTAACTTTTAAAATGGCATAAGTGTATAACAGTAATTGAAACTTTAGGTCAATCTTATAATTTATCATTCTCATTCTTATTTCCATTAAAGATTGTCGTTTCCCTATTCATTCCCCTATCAAACGATTTTTGTAGCCCTAATCGGACCTGCAAGCTGCTGTGAAGATAAAGACTATTGATGGAGTCTTCGATCACCTCATTTCTCCTTCGTCTTCGATCTTCAACAATCCATTTACCTCTCACCAATCTGCAACGCCGCCGCCTCCTTCTGCTGCCCTAGCCCCGACAACGCAAGCTTCGCCGAAGATGGTGCAGCGACGTCAACTTCCCTGACCATTGAGGCGTCTCAGAAGAGACGAGGATTTGAGACGAGGAGACGGGAGTGGATTCAAAGCATGAAACACAATTTGAGGTAATTTGGTTGAAGGAAATCGAGATACGGAGGGAATAAATCGAACGCACATGGGTGTATATCAATTCTCATGTTCTAAATCTACAATCGATGATTTTTTTGAGGTTAATGGTCTTCATCGTGTGTATATCAATTCTCATGAATCGATTTTTGTTAATTTTAATCCAATATCATATTTTTTCATCAATTTTCTCGTTCCTGTTCTTATAGTCAATTTGATTTCATGATTATTAATTTGATTCATCTCGAACATGAAAATTTCTGATGATCTGTGAGTGAAATCGATCTTTGAAGAATCGATTTGGTGTTTGATTGAATGCTAATCTCGAAGTCTGGTGATGAATGGACGAACCAATTGGATGTGAAGACTGAATCGCTTTGCTGGGATTATCGGATTCTTGGTTGTTTATAGTGATTCTGATTTTGATCGGAATTAATTTGATGACTGGTTCACAATCGCTAAATGGGTTTTACATTCGGGGCTTAAGACATCGGTTAATTCGCAATCTGTGATAAAGCTGAGTCGGAATGGTTGAGATTGTTCTACATAGTCAAAACCATAAAAGTCAAAATCGACTTATGTAAACGAAGAACAGTGGATTGTTGATTTGGTTGTGGAGGGTGTATTTGACATCGGGTTCATTGGCTTTGTATCTGCGACAATTGGGCTGTTTATTTATGATTAAAGGTATTCTTTTATGAAGAAATGATAATTTTTACACCCCTTTTGTTTTCGGTTGATTAAAAGAAAGGTGGATTACTTGTAAATTGATATGTATTCATTTGTGATTGTAGTAGTATTAGTTTTTTTTGAAAAAAAAATCGTTATGAATACAAATGTATTGATTTGGGGTTGGATTTCTATTAATTTTTTCGAAAAAAAAACGTGAAATAGGATAAAAAATTTATTTTTTAAGAAAAAAAATTAATTTTTATTAGTTTAAAATTTTTTTTTTTTTGATAAAAATATTTTTTATATTTCCTTAATAAGAAAAATAAAAAATCAAATATTTCCTTCTTTTTTGGTAACTGATCCTAAATTTAAGGGAATTTGATTGATTTTATTTTATTTTAATTTAATTAAAATATACAATTACTAATATGACCTTACATATTGATTGGTCTATAACTGTTCTCGCGTTCTCAACCTTTTAGGTGTTCTCATTTGATCATTTCTATATATATATATATATATATATATATATATATATATATATATATATATATATATATATACACACACACACACACACACACACACACACACACACACACACACACACGATAAAAAATGCACCACCTTTTATAATCAAACAAATAATACAAACAAAACCTACAAAATCTGATAATCGCCTAAAACAATGTCTTCCTATATTTTTTGAAGCAAAAACATCCTTTATTTTACAATAATATATATCATGTGAAAAATCACTTTTTAAACTTAAAATCACTCAATATTTCTTGCATACTCCATTATTTGAATAGATTTTCAAGAACTTTCACCTTTGTTAGCTTCATCAAGCAACATTTCTGTAAAAATTTGTAACTCGATAAATAAACATATTCCATCAATATGAGATTCTTCACCATTTGTCAAGTTAGACTCAAGATTTAAACAACATTTTTCTAACAAAATATTTATTCAATATCACTTTTAGACGATTAGCCTCTTCTTGTTCTTTTTGTTTTCTATCATGACCAATGTTTATGTTTTTGTTTCAACTTTCAAGATTCCAATTGTCAAGTGATCTGGAAAATGCATGATACAATCAGAAATAGGAACTCATTTTTTCAAAACTACTATCTACTAGCAAGAATGAAATATCTCCATTTATGTTGCATCTAGAAGTCCAAATACTCAAAATAATGGAGTTCAATAGAGACATAACACAAAAGTTTAAAAAGGAACCACAAAGTCATATTTCTAAAAAGAATCAAAGCTAAATAAAAATTCAAACCTAAAAATAGATTTCGAACAGAAGTGTGTTGCAACACCAACAAGAAACGCTCCAATTTTTGAAACAATAACAAAAATAGTCGATTAACATAAATCGGAAATTACACTGAACATGAACATTAATCAGAAATTAGAACTTAGAACGAGAACAAAGAAAAGAAATCAGAATAATAGAAATAAAACACAAATCTCGGATTCAGACTGTATATCTCCTAACCTAAAAGGCTACAACTAAACCATAGGACCATATTAGAGAATCACAAATCAAAACTTGAAAAACACATAAATTAGAGGATTTAGAAACCAAAACTTAGAGAAATCAGGTACATAATCGACTGATAACTAAGAAATCGAAGGCACTCAAAGCAGAATATGGATTTAGAGAGAATTAGAAAAATATTAAAATTAGTTTTCGCTTACTTTTTATTTATCAGATCTTATGAGCAGCTGATTATAAGCATCGGGGCATCGATTTCTCCAATCAACAGCATCACTGCAACGTGTTTCAAGGCGCCAATGGACGTTTCGTTTTTCTATGCGCAATTGGTGAACGGATTAATGCCCATCGCTAGTTGATTGGCTCGATGCCATTTACTCACTTTCTCATGTCCGAAATAGATCATAGTATTACATTAGGCTAACGATTTTGGGCTACAATTATATATATATATATATATATATATATATATATATATATATATACACACACACACACACACACACTATAGAATGCTAAACTGATTTTATGTCCTTCAAATGTTGTTGCCCTGGGCCTATGCCCAATTCGCCCATGTATGGGGCCAGGGCTGGTTACAAAGGCTTCATGTTGGTGTAGAACAGAAATGAAAAGGAAGATTCTGAAAGATGATCTGATATCCTATATATAAGACTAACTAAACGAGTCCTAATCTAACTCTTTTACTTGATGGGCAAGGAAACAAAACAACAACTAGTATAGTTGTCAATTTCTTGGGCACCAAGTTGAAAACAGTTCGGAGCATATCCAACAAACTCCGCCTTGCGACGGAACCAATCTTCAGCAACGTAACATTCAACCATCGAGATAAATGAAGAAACATAGTGCTCAAAAGTCCCTAAGGACTTAATTTGAAATACCAACCGAATTTGAACAAAGTTCAAATTTGGCGGTCGGAACCGGCTTCGTCATCATGCCAGTCACCTTGTGCTTGATGTTAAATTTTGTCACATTGATATCGCCTTGGGCAATGACATCTCTGATGTAATGGTATCGTATGTCAATGTGCTTCGTTCTCTCTTGGAATATCGAATCCTTTGTGAAGCATATCACACTTTGACTGTCATAATAAATTGTAGTGCATGAGAAATCACCACATAGCTCATCATACAACCCTCTAAGCCAAGTAGCCTCTTTGCATGCTTCCGAAATAGCCATGTACTTAGCTTCCGTAGTAGACAAAGCAACGGTAGATTGAAGTGTAGCTTTCCAACTTACGGCACAAACACCAATAGTAAAAACATAACCCGTAAGGGATCTTCTTTTGTCGAGATCGCCT